GCAAAGGACCCTGGAAACAAGCATCTTGAATTTTACTCTCTGGTCACCTCTCTAGCCTTACTTACCTTATGCGTGTTCCTGCTCTTAGTTGCAGTTTTATGTTTCTTCAGATTCAATGTCTTGAAAAGTATCCGTAGGAAGATTTGGGGTCTCCCCTCTTTGTGACGCCCTCCCCTCTAGGATCTGTCCAATTTCTGTGGCTCTGGCAGCCCCAAATTCCTGTTTCTTCAGTTCACTAAGGCTGGCACTTCTTGTTTGGATTCTATTACCCACTGGCACCTCAGGGAGCTGGAAAGTGCTAGGGGAAAAGCTAGGGGTCAATGTGGTGCTCACCTCAGATACTTCTCTTCTTGCTATTACCCCTCAAGTTCCCGGCTGCCCTGGCTGCCCTCTGGTCCATGCAAACTTAGTTGTTTCATACTCTGTCCAACAAAAGTCTCTTGACTGACTGCTTGGACATGGAAGGCTTATTCTTGACTCCGATCTTTTGTGTATGCCGTTTCTTCTATATATTCTTCTGACCCTTCCTTAGGAAAGCAGGCCCATCTTTTGGGCACAAACCAAATCTCACGTCCTCAAACCAAACATGCATTGCCAGGTATTTTCAGCAACTTTTATTGATATGACAAAACATACGATGTTAAATGTATAAAGCTACTTGGAAGGCTGAGGCAGAAGGACATATGTGCTTTGAATTACAAGCCTGCACAACCCCTGCTGGATAAGACAGTATGATTCCAAATGAGGGCAGGACCCACCTCTGCTTCTTTACTCCACCAGACAGCACCCTTGTCATAAATAAGCCCCATGTTGGTCATTACCACTAGCTGAAGATATGTTAAAACCCCTCACATCAATCTTATGCTCAGATGCGTGCAAATACTGCCCATGTGGCCTTTTTTAATCTTTTCACTTAATTTAGCAAACACATATAGAAGAAAAAACTCCAAAGTCCATCATAAATGCCAATGTTATATGTTTTATTTTTAATCAAGTAATTTTTTAAAACCTCAACATATCCATAATTGACAGAATAAGACATTAGGCATGAAATGAGAATATAAAATCCATGTTCTATAGAAAGGCAAACAGTGCTTAAGTCCATCAAGATGACTGCACACGAGAGAAATGCCGTTCTAAACATCGCTCCTTTTATGTCCTTTAACAACATACAGCTCAAGTGTTTTTATTTTCACTTGTAAACAATGTGAGTCAAAATGGACGATGAGGTAATCTAAAGGATTTACTACAAGGATAATTTAAAAACACTAGATAAACACAGTATTAAAGACATATAAAAATCAGGGTTCACTTTGGTCTCTAGAATGGTTAGAGTTGTTAATACCAAAAAAGCAACACATACTAATTAAAGCCAGCTTGGTGGTAGGTGCCAGTGGTTGGTACGTGTACGTGATTTAAGAGGTAGTCGACACCATGGTTTCAAGCTGGTAACTCTCACAAGTGTTAAAAGCCACAGATGTATTAAATATCATAATACTTTCTCACAGTATAGTACTTAACCATAACTTGCAGCTTTTTTCCAAATATAAGTTAAAAATGAATCATAGGCCAACCTCTCACTCTAACTGAACAACTATGACACAGATCACACAACCACCACATCTTAAAGAGGCTGTTGACAGCTAAGTAAGACAGAATTTGAAGCTTTTAACAAGTTGTTCTTTTCTAAAACAAATAAATCTCATTAAGATACCTAGAAAATTAAAATCAGTGCAGCTGCACTTGCACATACTTTCCCAAATTTTATAATCAAAGGGGAAATACACATATATATCTTATGATAAACATTTCTTAGGAAAACAGATAAATTAATTTAAATTAGCTTTAAGACTTAGTGAGATTTCCCATGTCCTGTATAATTCATCTTACAGTGAATGTTACAAGTCTATTAACACTTATGGGCTTCTATTCACAAACTAAATACAACCAGCAGTAACTTGGGGCCGCACTGGTGCAAAATAAAACTGAGCCAGAATCCAAAAAAATACACCGGCAATAACAACATCCAGTGTTTGGAGGTGGACCGATGCTAATAACGTGATGTGTCTTGATCTTTTTCCTTACATTGCACACTAAACTTCCAAGTTATAAGCAGGTAAAAATCTTTCTAAGTCTTTCCATTGTAAAAATACATCCAAAGTCTTCTAGTAAAGACTAGTAATGCAAATATAAACAGGTTTCCACTGTAGTCTGCCAGGTAGCAGATAAACAGCTCATAGGGTCCAGGGACTGGTAATGCATCTTTTCTCAGGGATTGCATTGGTGTTTACATGAGGGTGAAGTCAGACGACAACTGAATTCACAGCCCCGCCATCAGTAATCCCTGCAAACCGATGCTTCACACCCTCCCTAGCTAGGAATGGCATTGCACGTTCACTCCTTGGCACACCTGTGCCAACGAGTTTTGTGCCTGGGGCTGTAATGCTGCAAAGAGCTTGGGCTTCAGGGCAGCACAGACACGTAACTGAAGGCAATTGGCATCTTCTACACTGTTGCCCAGCATCAAAACACACATACACCGACCCCTCCCCTGCTTGACCTTCCCGCCCTCCACCGCCAGGCAAAGCGGTATTTCTAAGATTGCTTCTGCGTTCTGTTTTGAAGTGGAAGAGTGCCCATAATTCTTTATGCTAAAGACATGATCGTTTTAAGGAAATGCTTGGAGACTGCTAACTAAAACGAGAAGTTTCATTATTCACAAGTGTTTGTCAGAAACGTGCAGTTGTGAATTCCTATCTATAACACAGATATAAAAAGGTTCTGTACCAGAGAATTGTCAGGCAACTGTGAGGCTGAAGCAGCATACAGGTGTGCTGTGCATCAACTATGAGGTAGCCTTTTGCTGTAAACAGAATAATATCTCACCCATGTAAATGAACAATGTGCTCATATCAGTGATATTCACATATGCAAGGAGTTGAGGAATTCTGCCTTAGAGATTTTTTACAGAAAATACAAATCGGAGAACTGAAATCTGATATTCAGAAATTTTGATCTATGTCAAACTCAGAGGTAGTTACTATTATCGGTACATAATACTTATATATAAAGGTCAAAGTGATTTGGTTTGTTTTGAGTAAGCAGGACTATAGACTAGCCTGCAAAGAAACAACAACATTATATGGTATGTTCCCTGAGCAAAGTTTTTTTTTTGTCCTGAGTATGTTATGCAATAGTGATAATATTCTCATATAAAAAATAAACCCCAACTTTTAAACATAAGATAGGTTTGGTATGTGCTCTTAGTAGTTCAGACTGGTAAGATGCTGAAAAGGATTTCAAATTGCACCCATAAGGTTCACAGCTCTCAAGCGTTTCTGTGTTTTTCACCGTGATCTCAGCTCTGAATTTTTATACGTAAACAGGGAAAGTCCAATTTTCAAGTCCACAATTTCCTATTTCTAAAAGGTCAAGGAACTTTGGTTTGAATTTTCAAAGTGACTTATCATGTTTTACTTTTTTTATGGTTAACCTGCTTATTATACCTGCTAAAAATTAAGCAATGCCACTTTGATTTGTCTATATAATTTAAATAAGCTTGAAATCCTCACATAAGGCAAGGAAGTACTTCTCTATAGCTATGTCACATTCAATATCGTCAAAGGTAAGTTTTGCATCACAGCACACTGATACTTCAGTATATACCACAGAGATTCTCACAAACACTGTCGTGGAAGTCAAGCTGAGTCGTAAAGGACGGGTAACCCAACCTGAGGCATTTTCTTCTTACGGTAGCTTGCGGAGACGGTAACTATACAAGTCTCCCATGACAGCACAAATAGGAGAGGCAGCAGAAACTGTTCAGCAGAACAGGTCTCATCTGAGTCATGCTATTTTCTTTCTTTGATTATCTGAGCTTACACCAACAGGCCCACACAAAACTACATTTATTGCCAATATTAAGCATTATAAGTCATCGGTACCTTCTTGCAGATGTTTCAAAACTTGCCCATAACATCTAGAACCAGGATGACCCCAAAATGACTGTTTTTCATGACTGAAACCCAACGAGACCAACTATGACTGGTCCCTTGCCAGATTATTACTACAACTGAGAACCAATTTGAGGAACTCCCACTCCCCAGCATGGAATGTCCATCCTGAATCCACTACCTGGGTTACTCCAGCATCACACTGACAGTAACTTCCACAAGACCAATGTTGCTGTGTAAAAATACTCCCACTATCTGGTAGGGGAGGTTGTGGTGCTCCTGCCCTGGGCCTGTCACGTGAGCTGCTGGCAAACACTGCGCTTTTTAACACCATTCACAGGTTGGACATATGGGGCAATTGGGAGCATCCACTTAATCTTCATTCTCAATCTCAGTGTTTTCTTCATTTCCGTGCTGCTTTTGCTTATTTGTTAGAAACAAGTGGAATAATTCTCCAGGGGAACTTAAAAACAGCCACCAAAAAGTATACCCCAAACAACTGGAGTTCTTTAACATCTTCAGTAGTTAAAAAAAAAAAAGGGGGTTCCCTGCGCTCAGCCATGGTGAGGAGACTGACTTAGTCAAGGAAGCTGCTATCGTCATAATCCCTTACAAGCCTCACAGCACGGAAAAGCTTACAACAAGCTGGTATCAGAACACCCCTGAAAACAATCGTCATTACATTTATGCCTTATCCTCCCCTTCATTTCTTTTAATAGGCATCAAGTTTACAATCAAAGAATTAAAAAACTGAAATGTCGGCACAGAAATTACACATTCATTGTCTTTTCTGGAGTTATGTATCCCAGAATCAAAAAACTTATGGCAGTCAGAGGCATATGGAGTTAAGGTACTGCCTTCAAACAGGAAAAAGAAACAAAAACAAAAACAAAACCACTCCACGGACACCAAGAAAAAAGAGGCGTCTCCCAAATCTGGGAGAATCGGATGTCTTAAAAACTTTTAGTACCATATGATTGGCAGCTGAGATCTAAAGTATCCTTTGGTTCACACAAAAGGTAACAGTCATGTTTTTATTTTTATGTAATATAAAAGAAGTGGTATTTCAAGAAAACTCCAGGGGGTATTTTGGAAACCATCTATAATGCTTCACACAGGTTTTCAATTCTTGGTGATGTCCAATTACGTGAGGGAGGGTGTGTGCTTATATCTACATACACACATATATAAAGACAAGCCTTCTTTATATATATGTCTACATTCCTATATAAAATCCTCATATACACACACACAGACTCAGGCTCTCTCCCTCTCACACATGCACATTTGATATACATATTATCTCACTCTCTAATTAACATACAACATGACACCCTGCTCAAATGTAAATTGCTTCGAGTGATTTGTCTGTTTAAAAAATTCACAGTTCCTCAACAGTAGTTAAAATTCCAGGTCAGCTGCTGTTTGTGAAATACTGTTCCCCTGTACTTGCATGAGGTAGACTTCCCAACCGGGGCAAGAAAGCGATGCGTGGAGAAGAACTGTTATGTCTTTTTCCTTTTCTGGACTGAAGGCCCCTTTTTGCTCTGCTCTTCTGGTGCTGCAGATGACTTCATGGAGGAAGCTTCTTGAGGCGACCTGCCTGACCGGTCTGAGATCTCCGCCTTTGCCTCCTGAGGAAACTGGGGTGATGGACAGCCGTGCCCACCTCCCACCTCTCGAGGGCAGGCCGAAGTGCATGGCTGGGATTCTGCTTCCTGTCTTCCCTGAGAACTGGCGGGTGGCTGTGCAACAGTTTTATGCGGGCAGTTTGCCACCATGTGCATGATGCTCTGACAGTAATGGCACTTCTTTGGCTGAGGAGGTAGACTACATTCCTTAGCATGATGATCAAGGCCACCACAGTTGTAGCATCTGCAAGCAAGAATGACAAAAACATCTTAGAAGTAGGTAGCACATATCATTCAACACATGTTATAAATTAAAAAGCACTAAAATATGCAATTGCCAATGAGATCGCCTTACTTTAATGTGCCTTCTTAAAAGGATTTATTGTTATTTATATTGGTTGCTTCAAAGAGTATCATCACCAAAGCGTGCTGGCAAAGTTGTAAAATTAGTTATGTTTAAAAAAAAAAGCACTATGACTCTTTGAGGTAGATTACTAAAAAAGAAACAAAACAAAACAAAGCACCATACCTGAATCACTTCCATAGAGAAATGATTCCTTATTTAACTATGACACTGTTCGATTATCTTATTTATTTATTTTGAGTAGGGTCTCATTCTGTCACCCAGGCAGGAGTGCAGTGGCATGATTATGATGATCGTGACTCACAGCAGCCTCGACATCCTGGGCTCAGGCGATCCACCTCAGCTTCCAAGTAGCTGGGACCACAGGCACCTATCACACAACTGATTTTTTTGTTAGAAGAGACACAGAGGCAAGGTCTCTCTATGTTGCCTATGTTGGTCTTGAACTCCTGGGCTCAAGAAATCCTGCCGTCCGGGTCTCCCAAAGTGCTGGGATTATAGGCATGAGCTATTGCACCTGGCCTCGGTTATTTTTTTATTTTTTATTTTTAAATTTTTTTCTGAGTTGGAGTCTCTCGACCTACTGGGCCCTGGTGATCCTTCCGCCTCAGCCTTCCAAGTAGCTGGAACTACAGGCATGCGCTACCACGCCCGGCTAGTTTTTTTGATTTATTGTAGAGATGAGGTCTTGCCAAGTTGCCCAGGTGGGTCTCGAACCCGCGGGCTCGGGCAATCTACTCACCTCGGCCTCCCAAAGCGCGGGATTACAGGCTGAGCCACCGAGCCGGCTGGCCTCGGTTATTTTAAAAGAACAGTTTAGCCCACTAGAGGGCAGCGAGTAGTCAACAAAACAACCAGCTAATTTTAAAAACAGGAGTTGAAACACATAGCTGTTGACATGATACAAAATGGCAAATGAGAAAATTATAGACATTAAATTTTATGAGTTTAATATTTCTTTGAGTGTGAATTATTTTGACTGCGGAAGTGAACTGAACCGGAAGAATTTTCTTCCCTTGTACAAAATTAAGTAGTGCAGTGAAATTTGATATATAAAAAGCCAGATTTCTAGTCAGAAAGTAAGAATGTTATCTGGCAAATTACCAATAAGTTTAGAGCTGTATACAGTAAGTGTCTGAATTAGAAAAGAGTTTAAAAAAAAAGCTTCTAAACACTTAGGTCGAATTAATAAAGGTTGATGCTAGTTCAGTGATAGAAAACACTTATCTGTAAAAAATTAACATTCCTTTGGAGTGATTTCCTTTGGGGTGATTTCTCCTAAACTGAAATAAACATAAATCCATCTTTAATATTTGAATGCACACGGGGGAGTTGGCTTTGTATTATTACATGTTGGAAAATCCAACTTAGCAAGGAAAAGCTGAGCAAGGAAATTATATGGAAGTTATATTTGTTCAACTTAAATAGAATTTTTTTCTTTAAAAATTTTTTATTAAAAACAAAAGACTGTAAAATGGAAAAACTAAGAAAAAAATCTTTATTTACAAAGGTTTTCAATCTGTTAAATATAAAATTTGCTTATTGATTTGTCTCCAAATAAAATGTTTTAAGTTTAGACAGGCACGGTAGCATGATCCTGTAATCCCAGTTACTTGGGAGCCTGAGACAGGAGAGTCACTTGAGCCCAGAAGTTTGAGACTGCAGTGAGCGAGGATCATACCACTGCACTCCAACCTGGGTGGCAGATTGAAATTCTGTCCCCCCAAAAAAAAAGAAAAAGAAAGAAGAAATGCTTTAAGATCTTTATTTTTAAATTTATTTTTCAAATACATTTATGACTCCATAATTCTCATTATGAAGCACAAATAACAGTGGATCATAACATTTTAAAAAAAGACTTCCAAACATGTAGCTGTGAGAAAATTAGTTTAAGATTCTAATGACAACAAAGATTAATTACAATGAATTATATTTATATTGTGTGAGAGAACATTCGTAATTTACATGATCTTATATTTCAAAGACAAAATACTAACCTACTAATAACCTAACTAAGCATTATGTGTAAGATACTTAATATTTTATCTTCTAGAATAAGTTATGAGGGGTGAATTTTTTAATTGGCAAAAATTAGGATAACTATCGCCTGCCTCTCCAGTTACCAATACTGCCTTACAGATTTTAGAAAAATTGACTCACAAGATAGCCTTTTATTCTTTGTAATAACTGACAAGTATTTTTCTTAAGACAATCATATTTTCAAAAATTAAAGGAAAAAATAAGGAAAGGTGATTGAATTATTTATTGTATAATTACATATCTTCATATAAGTAAAACATTACAGATTCAATATTGTTTCAATCATATGTTCTGAGAGTGCAAAGTTAAGTGATATAGAAATTACTGACTAATGCTTAAAATTTATGCCTCAAAATAATGCACATTTCAAAATGGCATCTTTGAAAAATATGACCACATTACTTATCATAATGTTTTCCCACATAGTTCTCCTCTATAACGGATAAGTGAGTTCTTAAATTAAATTTGCCCATCTATAAAATATCTTCTTTTGAATTAAATTCCCTTCCTTGAGGATAGCATCCACTCAGGAGCTCATTTTCGAAGAGAGAGAAAATAGGTTAAAGGCTTCAGTAATAGAGCTGGCTCTCCTGCAGACACATCAATTTCATCAGTCACTGTGGTATATGTGCCGCCTTATCCAACGCGGTCGCGGGAGCCATTTTGCCCACGCATTTACCAAGGGCTTGGTGTCAGGATCCAGCTATCACAAATGGGATCTCTGATCACATTCTATAAGTGCATTTTCCATTACAAGAGGTTATAAAAGTTATTTCTTAGGATGCTATGTAATTTTGGTCTCCTTGCATTTTGATCTGCATAGTTAATTCACCCCCAGGCTTTTCTGATATGTGCTATCATTAGGCCAGACTGCCTTCCACACTGAAAAGATTTGTATTCAGTGTATATGTGCTTAGCCTTTAAAAGGGGGAGGAGTGGTATTTATTCTCCTCTTCTATTTAATCATTCAATGTCAATCACTCTTACTAAGAGTGCAGATCACACCCTATTATGAAACCCTTTCCTTCCCAAGGGACTGACACCAAAATGGAAATGTTCAGCCACTTTCAGCTCACAAATGATACCACAACCATATACTCCATACAAGCTACACATGGCTGTAGTCCTCTTTGTTCACTTTCTACCCTTTTCAAAATCAGTTTGTTTTTGTTAGTGTGAATTTTACATTGTGATGTGAGCATAAAGATGGTATGTGTGCCTACATAGAGCTAAATGCTTAAGAAATGTAAGGATACTGTCTCACAGGCAAACAACTATGTAATGAACACTGCAATCATACTCTGTTTTGTATTCCCATAGCTCAACATACACATAAAATTATTCATGTTCAGTATTTTATAAAATGCTGAGCCAATGGCAGAAAGGATATTTTCTCAGATATTAAACATAAAGATAAAATAAATAAAAATGTTTAGTTTACTTTTAGAATGCTATCCGTTCTTGATAAAACTACTTTATAAATACTTTAATTCTAATGAGCTAGTAGCACATTCTACAAGTATTACTTCTAATTAAGATGAGTTTAAAGATAGAAAATAAGTAACAAATTGAAGTCAATTTTTAAAAAGACTATCAAAATAAGATTAAAATTTTTTATTGAAAAGGGAATGCCAATAACAGACAGAATGGAGGCACCTAAAATGGCCAGACAAATGAAAACACATCTTTTAGACCTGTCTGAAGTAATTATGTGAATGTTTATCAATCAAGTCCAAACATCTACATGAGTTAATAATCAAAATATATACAAAAGTTCTGAGGAGTTCATGAAAAAGAATGAAAACTCTGATTTGGGTATCCGAATTTTGATCTGCTATGACCATTAGAAAATGTCCCATTTTTTTGGTCCAAACAACTGAATAAGCAAATTATATTTTTAAATGATACCAGTAATAACTGGTAAAAACTGAGCTCAATGAGAATCACTAGGTTAAAATACAGATGTCCATTTTTAAGAGGTATTCCAACGGACTAAATGAAAAAAATTTATCAATTATATATTCCCCCTTGACTCCTAGATTAAAAAAAGGAATACCATAGATAGAATCAGATTTGCCTCTAAAAGTAGAATGGAAAAAAAAAAAAAGTACCTTAGGGTGCTTCTCAATATTTGAAAGTTTTAACACAGTAAGAATTTATATGGAAACTCAAATTCACATTCCTAGAGTCTGACGGGGACATTAAGGATGACAATGCAGTGATCTATTAGTTTCTCAAGAGGAAGGAAATGTTGAAAGAGTATTAAATAAAGCAATATCAGAGAGAGAGAGTATAGAGTGAAAAAAGAAGTGAAGTTGTGGGATGGAAGCAGGCATGAATATAGAAAAGGAGTACATAAAAATCCCTAGAAAAGATGAAAAAAAGGGTTACTAAAATTTCCAGTCGGGAAGCCAGAGGGACTAAAGAGATGTTCCAGATTGGGAAGAACTTCAGAAGCTAAACTGGAAAAAAGATAATTGGCTCTTTGGTGAGACTGTTCATCATTTTTGATGGCACAGTTCAAGTAAAATCAAGAAATGATATTAATAATATTCCTCATATCTACCATTTTGGATTCTTTTTTTTGAGTTGGAGTCTCATTCTGTCGCCCAGACTGAAGGGCAATGGCATACTCCCAGCCACTGCAGTCTCGACCTACTAGGCTCAAGGGATCCTTCTGCCTCAGCCTTCCAAGTAGCTGGAACTACAGGCATGCGCCACCATGTCTGGCTAATTTTCTGATTTATTGTAGAGATGAGATCTCATCAAGTTGCCCAGACTGGTCTTGAACCCGTGGGCTCAGGCAATCCTCTTACCTCGGCCTCCCAAAGTGCTGGGAT